AATAACGTCCATTCCCTCTGCATTGGCCCTCACGGCATTTGCATCCCTCTGTGCATGAAGGAATTTAAAAAGAGGCAGGTCACGCTTTAGTGTATATAAACCAGCTATTGACTAGTTCTAGATAATACGAGGCTAGTTATTCCACAAATGACTAACCAGGGTGTTGTTTTCTTACATCCTCCCTAAGGCATCCTGCGTGGCCACTGCAAAACTACAGGATGCCCTAAAATTATTCATATTACAAAACTGGAAGTGAAACAAAGATTCTCATCAGCGGAGGCAATTCACACGGGAGACGTTTCACAATAGGCTGAATTAAGTCTTCCAAATCCACGATGAAATAACAGCCCCAGCACTCCTGTCGCCCACCTGCCAAAAAAGATCCTAGCTCAAGTGGAATGCCAGCTTGGTGAAAGCTCACTTGACAGGGTCGAGTAATTTTTCGTAACAATCATGATTCAACTTCTTCTTCTTCTTTTTGGAACAGTTGAGGGATGTAGCCTCTGGCTGCTATTTCTGACATCTATGTAGACATTAGGCCTAAAAGAGACATGAGGAATCAGATCTGCTCTGAGATTAAGGCCCAGAGTGAGAGAGAAATGAAATGTTTAATTTTAAAGGGTTTTTATTTATTTATTTTTTACATTAATCTGGTGCCTGCAATGTTAGGTAGCATCTCACGCCACCCTTGTTTCCTGTCTCCAAAATGGGCCCAAAAGGCATCGAAGTGTGGAGATGCAAGTCATTGGGGTCTGTGAAACGTAGCAGTGATTCTCTAACAGGAGCTTAGTTTCAAGGATGTTGCCTTCTTCCTACTAAGGGCAGCTGGTCCCCAATACAAAGCCCTCTGTGGCAGCTGCTCACACGGCCTTCGTTCTGGGGACTTCCTGATCTTGAGGCAGGCAGCTGGAAATATGACAGGCCAAACCATGAGATAGAAATGTGCGACGAGCCTCAGGAAGGGAACTTAACTTTATCAGGTCTGTCGCTTTCGTCTCCAAAGGATCCTGAGCAGTGCAGCTCCGTGCCCTTAACGACTACTGACAGTTTGGCGGAAGAGGGCCACCGCCCCAGGGGCTCTTCTAAACACTAGTTTACTTGCAACAGATTCAGAGAAGGCTCCGGGGGCATTTTTGGTCAGCAGGACGCAAGAAACCAAGAGCCAAGACAGACACTTAGCTAGTCACTGGTGGCAAGATCCTACCAGGGAGACGCATGTGAGCTACTCCCTGCTTTGGCTGCACACTGTACAGAGATCGCTGTCGAGAGAGCCACGAGACCAGAACCCTGGCATTGCTCTGCATGGGAAGGGCTATGTGCAGTCCACATTGGGATCACCTAATTCATTAGCATACTGGGCTACAACCATGTCCCCCTCTCTAACAAAGCCTCAAATAGGCTGCCTTTACGTCTATGACGATTTTTTTCCTTCTTCACAAAACACATCTGTGTCTGTGCATTTTGAGATGGATGATCTCTACCAACTGGTAGGTCAGAAAGCATTCATTGGAGATCCCCCCCCCCCAGAACACCCCCATCATGAATTTTTTTCAGTCCACCGGGCAGTTCATGGAAAGAACGGTTTGGGTTTTGGAAGAATCCCAGGTTTAGCCAGGCACGCTCCAAGCTTGCGGTGTCGGCAGCCACTGGAGTGGAGGGCAGAGGAGAGGCCAGGCCTCACAGAGGCTTCCCATTCGGGCAAGCGGCTCTTCCGCCACCTTCTTCGGCTATGCTGATGAGAACTTTCTGCCGTGCCTGTAATCACCTGAGAGGGCACAAGATGGCCCTGTCGGTTCTCGCTGCTTGAGTGGCGTCCTCTCTCCCTGCCTGCGGTAGCTACTTTGATCAAGCACACTGTAGCGCTTCCGAGGGACAATCCCCTCCCTTTCTTTGTCGGGCCCACTTTCATATTTAGTTCTTTAGAGAAGTGCAACACGGTACACGGCCCAACGCATGACAGTAAATGCAAAACCAGAAAAGGGGAACCTCCGTCACCAAGAAAGGTGGCAAGATTTTCTTAGATTGATCAAACAGGAGGGAAGCAGGGTCTCACCAGATCGAGAGTGCAGATGACATTACACTCAAAAACTGTGGGTGGGGTTTTGTGTCTCGTGAACCACAAAGCTCACTGGACTCATTTAGGGAACAGGAGACAGAAGGATGCACGGGTTTATTATGCAAAGAGACTTCAAGACAGTTGCTTTGTATGCATGCTAAAGACTACCGCCTTCCGTGCTTATATTACTGAGCAAGAGAACTGTGCAACTATAACCATCAATTCCCCTTTCATTCATCATATTTCTATCCTCTAAGGAACTCAGAATGGCATACATGGGTAAGTTATTCCTAGGGGGGGGGGGCAGGCCTCCTGCTGTAGTGGCAGACAGACAAGGAAGTGGTGAAATGGAGAAGGCTCTTCAGCATCGTGCCAATGCACTGCCTCACTCTGAGTGCCAAGCTGGAAGTGATGTCACCGCATCAGCACAACACTCCAGGATTCATCCAAAACTCTGTGGTTTGAACGCAGAATTTTGGGTGGATCCATTCTGAAGCAATGATGTTGCTTCCGGCTACGTACCAGGAGTTGCATCGGCACGGTGCTGAAGAACTTATCCCTGACCTCAAAAATTACCTTGTCGGGGTGCAGCCACGGCTGGCAGTCCAATTACCCCCCCCCTTGTTACCTCCTCAGCAACTCTGTTAGGTTGGACTGAGAGGCAGAATGAATTAATGTCTAGCCCAAGAACACCCAGAGATATTCATGGGCCAGGCAGAGAACCATTCCAAGGATTAGAGTGGTGTGACTATCCTTCAGCCCCTTGAAATGCCAATGTGCACAAACAGAGTTCAACGACCTATTCAGGGCACAAAGCCTCCATTACTGTGAGTGCCAACTTCCTGCAGAACTCACACGGGCTGTTACATTAGGGGCAGGGTAAACAGCAGCGCTCACGCCATCTCCTGCACCCCAACTTCTACATGTTCAGAAATACCACCTCACACAGGCTCATCGCTAACTCACAAGGAAGTGAGATAGGAAATGCAAGCCGTGCAGAGCTAGCTACCCAACAGACTTCATGTGCTGTTTGCATATGTTGACACCTTGTCGTTTAAGGTGACGGGGAGTTCCAATATTTGAAAATGGAAGACCATCTATTAGGGAACAGGGGCAAAGAGGGGGGGAGTTAATAAATGGGACCAATTAAGGATTCAGCTGGTATTTCTCTCCCTCCCCACTTTCAGCAGACAGTCTTTAAAAACAAGATACATACATTCTTCGACCACAGTGCACCCACAAATTCAGGAACTCTTACAGCCACTCCCACTTCTATGAGGAAACACCTCAATTTCTGCAGCAGGGAGTTAAGCTATCAAAACTATTAGCTTCTGTTGTGGGGACGGGGAAGGATAATTTATTTTAGGATACATCTTTCCCAGTGCCATAGATTATCTGTATCCTTCACCTGGAAAAAGAGCTTTTATTTTTTTTAAATCTTCTACAAATCCTCTTCCCTGAGCATTCCACAGAACTTCTACCAGATTACCTCCCAACAGCCCATCAACAAAAGTGGTCCATCTCACATTTTCCAAGCTTGTTTCTTCCTGCTTCTATCCAATACCTGCTTCACACAAGCAAGGACACGAAGCCAAGGAAACTTCCAATCACAAGGTCATGAGAAAAGTCATCTTCTTTTGAAGTTAAGCAATTTTGAACTCCAGCTCAGACCTTGGCCTGCATCTCAAGGACCAAACATGTATGCCTCAGCAAAAAGACCTATGAGAGCCCCCCCCCCAAAAAAAAACAACAACAACAGGACAGGCAGTTTGTGTTCAGGTTTGAAAAGACACTCACAGCCCCATCCTAAGCGAAGTTACACCCATTTAAGTCCATTTAAGTCAGTGGGCTTTGAAAGGGTGTGACCCTGTGTAGGTTTTCACTGCTAGTCAACCATCTCTGCATCCGGAATGGTGAAGCAATTCCAACCAACCTTCCCGCTGTTTATTCTGTAGCCTCAGCACCACCGCATGGAGGAGCCCATCAACTGTAGCTTCCAGCCATGAAACTGAGATTGCAATCTTATATCATGCAATAAAGATAATGCGATGAGGTAATTTTGGCCGTGGCCTCACCACCCCACGTTTCCAAACGGCTGCGGGAGCTTGGTACAGTTCCAGAACTGCAGCAGCTAGATATCCAGTTTCCTGGGTGTTAGTCACCCCCAGATGGTGGTCAACCATGGCATGCATCCTCAGAGTGGCATGTCGTAAAGTGCTACACTGAACCCAGGAAGCTGTCCTGTACTGAGTCTATAACAGTCAGTCTTGTTTGCTCTGGCTGGGAGCGGTCCTCCACGATTTCAGGTAAAGGTCTTTCATATCACATTACCTGATCCTTTACAGTGGAGATGCCAGGGACTGAACCTGGGACCTTCTGCTTGCAAAGCAGATGCTCTACTACTGAGCCACAGCCCTTCCCCAGCACTGTTCCGAAAGGACTCTAGCTACAGTCAAGTAAAACACTTGGATTTAAATGGATGCAGAAAGCTAGATGACTACAGAGAAGATGCCTAGACCAGTATTTCCCAACTTGTGGGTCCTGACCCCAAAGCAGGGTGTGAAGCCTGTGAAAATGGGTCCCAGGCTTTTACAGTCTTAATTATTTGTGCATGGTGTCTCTTCTTTCAGTGGGTCGCCAGATCCCCAAATGGTTGGGAACCATTGGTCTACACAAAATATTAGGCAGATCACTCAATTTGTGAGACGGTAACAATTTGTTACAATTCAAACGGCATCAGTGCAAGGCTTACAAAAAAAAAAGCTATAGAGTCCCAACTTCCCCAACTCAAGCCATTCCAAACTCTAGATCAGAGCTACCCCACTCCCCATCTACAGCATACATCTGAAATATGAGAACCTTGAGTTTGTTTCTGGAACAAAACCTGCAGGCTCATTTATATGAAAGGCTGTTGGCAATTGTGAGAAAGAACATTGCAACTCACCTCTGGAGTGTTTTTCTTGAACTCGCGGCTTTGTTCAATGAGCTTCTTTCTTGATTGTTCACTTTCATCTTGTCGATTTGCCAACACTGTCGCCGTGGCATCAAGCTCCCTCTATCCGAAAGAAAAAGAGAAAAAGAAAAATTACAATTTGAGCCATGATTGGATCCTTTAAAACAATACAAACAGAAGCAGCATGCTTTCACCGACGGTCTGTTAATTAACTAGAACCTCCTTATAAAAGTATTCTATAGTCTCTATTGCTGTCTTAAAATCCCCCCAATTGGCCTTTCGTCAGTCAGAGTCCTCTCCACCGTCTGCTCTTTCCTCAGTGAGGTCAATTCAGATGTGGAGAACAAGGAAATTAACCCATGTCTTGATAGTGCACAAATCCGTAAAAGCACTGAATGAGAATGGCTGCTTTGACACAAACTTTTGACATTGTGAACCATAATACACAGCAAATTGCTGAGTCCTTTGACTCAGTGATTCAGGATCCAGATAAATGTCTCTGTTAAGAGCACCTGTGTGATTTTTTTCGCCCTTTCCCACCTACAACAACTTGTTCTCCCAAGAGCAGCAGCGTGCATGCGCCTATACACACACCCCAACAGATGGCTGTTCAACCCATCAACAAGGCATAGAGCCACTTCCCTTTTCTTGTCAACAAACAGGTTTGCACCAACGGAGCTGCGAGCCTCTCCCGATACAGGATGACAATCTCCCGGTCCCTGCTAACATCTCGGCTGCATGTAAGTGCAACTATTGCAAGGAGCTAAATCTACAAATCCTGCAGACTGGCCCCACCCGAGAAGCATGTCCTCACCTAAAGGAACGTATCTACCTGGGTTGCTTTTCAATGAGCGACTAATCCAAGCAAAGACTTCAAAAGACCGGTTCTTCTGATGACGCTGGTGCTGGACCATGGAAAACTCTCCATCAGCTTTGACTGTGTCAGTTGCTGTTTACCAGCAAGCCTATTAACAAGGAAAGGGGCTCCAACTATATGGAGTAGATATGAAACTGACCACTGGTCCATCTCCTGTGCAGCCCAGCAGCAGTATTACAGTCTTCCCTGTTATTTATTTCAAGCCTTTCTATCCTGCATCTCCAATTCTGTTCCAGGCGACTTCCAAAACCTCAAATACATACACTCAATACAGGGGTCATTTCGTAGAAAAGAGCTAGGGGGACTCATTAGCATAACTCATTAGCATATGCCACACCCCGACATCACCGGAAGTGTGTCCTCCCCACAGCCGGCGGCGACCTCCAGCGGGCACCAGCAGGGAGCTCCAGGCCCTGCCCTCCCGCACCTCACCCGGGGGGATGGCGTCCCCCCGCGTCCCCCCCCAAATGACCTCTGACTCAATATATAACCCTGCAGCAACATAAAACCACAGCACAGTAATACTGCAAGACTAGAAAAACAGCAGCACAGATCACTTTTCTAAAAACTTAAAACCAGCAGAGTATCTTGTACTACCTCTCATTAGAAGCTCCCCCCACCAAATTTTTAATATGGCGCAAAACTGAAACTGAAGGGTGGGTCCCAAGCAGGCCCGTCTCAAGAGACAGAGGGAAGCTTCTACCAGCTCAATGAGATCTGAGCTGAGCTTCTGTTTCCCTTCCTGTTGGCAGCCATTTAAGCTTGGCTGTAGCTAAAGAGGTCTTGGCCCTTGGCTCTGAGCCCATGGCTCACAGCCCAGGGCTCTGAGTAAGCTAGGCCACTGGATTCAGAACCAAAAAAATTGGACCTGTATTTCTGTCTTTGTCTCGGTTTTACTTTCTGTACTGCCTTGTAAGCTGCTCTAAGTCTCCACGGTGGACAAGAAATAAATAAATCCACCATTTGGGTGCCACCACCAAGACAACCTAGCCCTGGTAGCCTCCCACTTTGACTCCCACAGACGTGAACAGCTGGAACAAAATTTATGAGTTCAGTAGATGGTGAAGCTCAAACGAGAGCAGGAAGTCCTTCAAAGACCACCTAAGGTCTTATCTGGCCTCTACCCACTCTTTGAACTCTCCCCAGAAAACAAAGTCAGTGATATGTTCACAATGGTGAGCCCTAGTTAACCACCTGGAAGCAGTAGTGGATGGAGAATGACCAAACAGAGCAATTATCATCTTGTTCCACGTTTGCTGTCCTGGTGAAAAACCAGCCCAGAAGACCCTAGCATTTGGCCCACTCAGGGACTACTGTTGTCGCACGCTGAAAAATCTAGGAACGAATAATATTACAGGCATCCCCCGGTCGCCTCAGCCTATCTTCCGCCTGTATCTAATAGACTTCTGATACAGAGTGGCAGAGGCCTTGTACCAGCATCAGTTTTCCAGCTGTGTGGTGACCTATTTCTTCATCGCTTCACACAGGCTCGCTCATATCTCTGTTTATTCTCTTTAAGCACTAAATCCAAGTATGCGCTCCACATTCTCGTGAAGTCAATAGAAGTTGTGTTATGTACCTTTGGGGAGGATTCGCCTCTAGATTTTTCTTTACTTTTAATCGATTTGCTTTCATTGCAAATAAATCTGACATTCATGAGAAAAAACACCTCGCTGGAGTCAGGCAGAACAGACAGGACACAGGCTGGGGCCATCTTCTCCAATAACTCGGCCACAGTAACCTCTTTTCTGGCCTCCAAAATCCAGAGCCAGCCACCCATAGCAAAAACATAAAATAATCAACTCCCACATCAACTAAGACAGAGGCAGATTTTTCAGGTGGAAAGCATTTGAGGATTCAACTGAAATAAGCACCTTTACTTTTGCTTGCCACTAAGAGGCGAGCAACTGTCCAGTTAGGTGTCTTGCAGCTCCTCACAGAATTCACCAAAGTGCAATCAGCCAGAAGAAGACACAGGAGCAACGCAGACAGAGTAGACCAAGGATGGACTTAACTCTCTCCCCTTCCCAAGCAACTCTCCTCCACCTGCTTTACATGTGGTTAAGGGATACACTGGCAACAACATTCACTGCAATCAAGGCTAACCAGGGGCCCCACGTAACCAGGATCCTTAACCAAACTTTAATTAAGGGAAGCTGTTTCACCAAAACTATGGTAACAGTGCTAAGCTAGTTGGGGTTACGGCAAGAAAGGAGAGAACGCACCATCTATAGCCCATATACCTAACCTCTAGACTGCAGTTGAAAGATTTGCTTTGCCCTGTTACATGTGCAGTATCCACCAACGCCAGTGCTACTATGACAAGTTAAATGCAGGGCTGAGAACAACATTTCATTGCCAGAGCCACCAAAATCCCATTTCTAGGGTCACAGGCAACTGATTCAATGCAGTTATCCTAAATAATAATAATGATGATGATGGACATATGAATGGCACTCTGAAAGAGGAATGATTGAGACAAATGCAAGCCTTGCAGTTTTAGCATGCACTATGTATAGTGCGAGCCCAACGCCAACCCTCTGCAGCATCTTGGAAAGCCAGGGAAGTGGAGGAATAATAAAGAAACCCCATACAGTGAAGCCTTCAAGCAGGGAGCCCCATGGACCCCCAGGCATCTGAACTCCCCTAGGAATGATGATGGTGATAACTCAGCATTTGTACAGCACTTTAAAAAGCTTAACAAGCACTTGTGTCATCTGGCTGTAATCCTTACAACGATCTTGCATGGTAGGTCAATTGTATCATCCCCCACACACACTGAGAAAGAGGCCACCTAGCAAGTTCACATCAGAGGTTAAGATTCAAACCGGGGACCTACAGATTTAAAGCCAGAATGCTCAGCCTGCCCTGTGTTCAAAGACAGGACAGCCACCTGTCCAGCATCAAGGGAAGTGTACACATGGGGATATGGAGTTGCCTTATATGGAGTCAGACCACTAGTCCATCTAGCTCAGTGCTGTCTGACTGGCAAAGGTTCTCCTGTACCTGGAGATGAGAGAACCTGGAGATGAGAGAACCTGGGGCCTTCTCCATGCCAGACAGGGACTCTGGCAATAGGCCATATGCAAGTGGCTGCTAATGCAAGCCTCATGCAAGCAAGACCATTTGCATATTTATTGCAAAGATTTATACCCCCGTCTTGCAATCAAACAACCTCCAGAGCTGCTCACAAAATCACCACAGAGGCCACATCCTATATAACCAGCATACACGCCACTTATTTTGGCAAGCAACGCCCACCAACCCGTGAGAAGAACTGGAGTCAACTCTCTTAGCACTGGGAAGTGTTTATTTCTTGTATTCCACAGACTATTTCTAAACTGGAGTTTGCAAATTTTCATCACTTTGTTGTTGTTTCTTTTTTTTCCAATAAAAGAAAAAAAAAGTTCTAAAATCCTGACTAGATCAAGTCTGGTATAATAGTTGAAGCGCTGGCCGAGGATCTGGTAGACACAGGTTCAAATCCCCGCTTTACCCCAAAGTTTGCTGGGTAACCCTGAGCCAATCACACTATCTCAGCCTGACCTACCTCACAGAGTTGTTGTGATAGTTAAATAAGAGAAGGAAATGTATGCCAATCCAAATTCCTTGGGAGAAAGGCAAGATATGAACTGGAGTAAAAAAATTTAAGAAAACAAACTTGTAGGTTACCCTTAAACATGTTTTGGCAGGCTACACACTTTCTGCCCAAAGATCACAATAATTCACATTTTGAACAATTTTCTCATAGTGATGCCAGTGTGCCCACATTTCTACTTCATGCCAAACTACTAGCCTAAGGGCACGATTCTGCTGATAGCAAATTGGGAGTGAGCCCCACTAAACTCATACCATTTAAGCTAGGATACTTGCTAAAATGGTACATGCAGATACCATAACGTACTGGGAAAGGCCCTATGTCCGACTGAACAGAGAGGCAGCAGCGGAGAGAGGGAAATCAGGGCAGTGCATCAGTTTTGGTCTGGAATTCTATAGCATATGGGGAAATTTTCACAAAAGAGGGAAATCCTTAAGTCAGCCCAGCCAAGAACCAAAAAAAGAATGTATGCTCAACAGAAACCTCTGTGGTTAATAGCTAAGCAAAAGGCTTTTTAAAAAAATAATAATAATAACAATCTGTTAGAAAGCAAGAGGCAGAAATACACTTGGGGGGGGGGGAAAACTATTACTTAAGAAGCAAAGCAGATTCCGGGGAACGGA